CCGTCGCTTATGAAAATACATTATATATTATATGTGTCACGATTGCAAAAAAATGTATCATGACCAAAACAATTCATCAATTGATCAACACTAGAGCTCCGATCGGTACAAGTCGGATTTGACATTCAACTCAAATCCGACCCAAAAAATCAGGTCAAACCTGAATCAACCTATGGCGTTCCATGATCATGAACGGATGATCGTGAAAGGACGGCAATGTGACAGAAATGGAAGTCGCCAGTATTTTCTTGATGAGTAGACGATACGAGAATTTTTTGAAGAGTCAGGTTGACTAGCATAGGTAGCGCAACGCGGTCTACCTAGACGTAGAAGCGAGCGAGCAAGGGAGCGTGTGCTTGCATCGCATCGAGCGAGGTGCGCAGCAAGTGGGATGAGGAAGAGGAGTGCCAGACACAAGAGAAGGAGGAGAGTTTCGCAACACGGAGTGGAAGACGATGACAGACCAGCTGGATTTGCAGCTGAGCTCTTATCGCTCGTTACTTTACTCATGTAAACATAATCACTTCGGATATCTTCAGTTGTTGTTATCAACAACCTTTGACAATTTACAGCATGCTCTGCTACTGACACTTGAAAAAGCTTTGCGAGGATGCTTTCAAGGTCTCGTCGCTTCGGTGAATCACCTGATAGCACGCTCTAATCTCTCTGCCTTTTTTTTACAAGAAAGTCAATACTAGAGGTCTTGGATAACAAAACATCATCTTGTTTCAACGGCTCCGTCCACCTAGCTTAAATTTTAGATTTCGGGTTGGGTGTAGTCCTTTATCCAAACCCGGATACTATCTGATCTGAACTCGAATTTTACCTAAACCCGATCGGAGTCATAACCAACACCAACTCCTCTATCAATCTTGGTAATTTATCATGAGCAATTTGTGGTAGAGAATATACTCAAGAAGCTAATTTGAGGCCATGAATATCTCAAAATAAAATATTGGGTTAAATGTAAAGTATATCCATCATATAAATCAACTTAAAAACTAGCTAAAATTTTAAGTAATGCACCGTTGATAGTTCAAGGAAATTTAAACAAATGTGCAAAAAGTATGTTGTGTCTTAAAAGTAGTAAGATTTGTAACCATCTTTAGTTAGTTGGAACTAAAGTAAATGTTATTCACAATCAAAATTTAGTTACATTTATAGTTGTCACGTCAACAATCCATGTACTTGGTAATATGAAAATAAGTCTGCTAGTTGAAAGAGAAACGTCAGCAATCCATATGCGTATTAAGTAGGACTGAATTTGCTAGTTAGTGTGTTACTTGCAAGTGACGCCTCAGCAAGCCATGTGCTAAATATGTTTATCCACGATGTCATCAATCCAATAGGAGTGAATTGGATAAATGAAAGTAGAGCTTGTCTTCATCTATGTGTTTGAAAGATTTATATAATGAAGTATATAAGCACTCTAGACATCTTATCTTCTAAGTTGTGTTTCATCTTCAAGTAAACTAGTATCTTGATCTAGAGTGTTACATAATCTAACAATTATGTTACTACATGTACAAATTATAACAAAAAAGCAAAAGCTAAGGATGAGATGATTAAATGATAAATAATATGTTATCAAAAGATTAATTCATATTTAGCACGTTTTGTATCTTGACAAAATTTTATCTTTAATGTGAATGTTTACGTTATTGCATGCAATTAGTGATTCATTATAGTGTAAACATATATACTTATCATCATAAAATGAAATAATATGAAAATTTTGCTTATAAATTTGACAATATCATCAAATTTTACTTATAATATATATTGATAAATTATGTGTTTTTATTTATCAACCTCACGTAGATGTGTAAGAAATTAAGAATGAAATTAAAAATATTATGTGATTTCTAACTTTTTCTTAAATTTTAAAACATGTTATTCAACTTATAACTTGAAATAAATCTTATTGTCTCAATTACTTGAAACCAAATCTATACAGATATTTTTTATGATAAAATAATTATTTTTTAAAGCAATCTATCTTATAAAGCTTTTGATTTATAAAATTACTTCACTCTAGATTTCAGGTCTTTTTTTCATACCCTAAAATAATAAAAGATTAAGAATATAATCAAGATTTTATTATCAAAAACTCACCATGATAAAACCACATGCTCTAATATTTTCCAATTGAATTTTTTTTTTGTCTAAAGTTGAAGATTGATGATACAATTGGTTTTCTCAATGTACACATGAACATAGACAATTGCATTTTATTCATGATTTTTTATATTCACGTATTGCAGGTTAATAAGTTATGTACTTGAAGATGATTTAATATTTTTCATAAATACTAATATAATTAATTTATCTTTAATTGAAATAGCATCATATGATGGGACAAAAAAAAATTGCAGATGTTCATGAAGATTATTTTCAGGCTTCTTGTATACAGTGCAAAATCTTTACCTATATCTTTAGCCTCTCTTCAATCAGAATCCAACTGTACATGAAAACACATTCACGAGGTATCAACGTATGGGAAACGAGCACAGACGGCATGAAACATATCTATACAGCTCAGAATACAAATTTTATTTTAATAATTAAAATCATGAAGATCTATCGAAATGAATCACACTGGCATAGACTTTGTTCAACATAAATTTTTAGAATGCAAATTTTATAATAATAATCAAAAGCATGAAGATCTACCGAAATGAATCACACTGGCATGGATTTTGTTCAACATAAATTTCATGAGCCAAAGCTCATAGCCGAAGAGGAATTCAAAGTAACAAAATAAATGTAACATAGATCCTTGAAGCTTCACATGCAAGTAAAGCAACGTCACCACGTCTCAAAAAATTACAAAATAGTGACGAAAACAGAAAAGCTGAAAGATCATTGAGAAGCTGTTTTCTAAAAAGAGACAACCACCCGAGACAAAAATATTCTAACCGGGAGGAAAAACAAGATCCGTACAAGAAACCTTTCAATGGGTAAGAAAGTTACCGTGGAAAGCATGGTAATCTTCAGATAAGTGAATGACAAGCCATGTCCATATGAAAAAAAAACCAGTGTGCTTAGACTAACCATATTCGTTTGTCTTTAGGCCATCTATATGTATTGAAGTATTATTGAAGAGCACCAAAGAATCTCTCAGACATGAACACGTCAGCAATACCGCGTTAGATTACTTCATAAAGGAAGATAACTTCGAGGGGTGAATCAACATTCACCTCTTGAATATATTCTTACTTATGCAAAGAAACTTCATTTGAAACAAATTAGTCAATTGAAGATTTAAAATCCAAAAATGTAAGTAGGTAGTAGAGGCAATAGCAGAAAATGAACGGGGATTTCTGTGTATTCTGCAAATTCTTGTTGATTTTATGTTTACAACATGTCTTTCTCGCTCATATATTTTGAAATATTTCAGTTAAATTTGCTCGGGTTGAATTGAAAAAAAAATTCAAAATTCGAGGGAAAGTCTTTCTCCACTTTTTCATGCATCTTATATATTGTCTTGTGGCTGCGTAACAATTGTCTTGAGAATGAATTGGTAATAAAAATAGCCAACCGACCTCTCGAAATCTAGTAACGTTGTCATCTTTATTATGCTATATGTCCGTACGGCATTGTATAATTCCCCTGCATGTATGGTGTAATAATATTAAAAATGGAGGAAAAAGGAGGAAAAACATGTATAAAACATGTATATATATACATGTTTTATACATGTTATGTAGATTCATGTTACATGCATAGAGAATCGTGAGGATGAGAATTGTAGGATAGGATGAATCAGACGCCATGAGAAGCAGCTCTGAACTCAATTTATATTGTCACAGAACATGTCAAGCGAGGTTTATTATTACGCTTTTGGAACACGCTGGTTCAACGTGCTTTCCGAAAAGCACAAGCAAGAAGAATTGCATTTCCGGCCAAAATAGAAACAAATGACCTGTATAGAAGAATAGAGAGTGTTTTTCTGGTGTAAGGAAGGAATGCCTCTAACTAGAGATCGCAAGAATGGAATGGAAGTACAATCAATCAATAAGAAGGTACACATAGATTAAAAACAATTCATATAATAGACGATCAGATATTGAAGCTTACGGAGTTATCCGTTTTAGCTTTTAGAACAATGGCCGAAAGCTCTTGGCAATACTCTTTCCTTCGGCTTGCCACTTTACTTTAGTAAAGTGGCAGTCCGAAGGGAACCGCGGTGACGTACCGGTCTGAGTCAGAATTTCTCCTTGCCCCATCACCAGCAGCTGTTGCATGCAGAACCGAACGAGCCGGAAGCATTCGGGTGCAGACTCCAGGCAGACAGACAAGCTTCAGTTCCACGTACACAGTCCATGAGCAAAGTCTCAGGTTGTGACGATGAAGCTACTGATTATGTCAACTCGTGGAGTTTGGACGCTGCTAGACGGCGACGGCCGAGGGGCAAGTGGGCATAGATATGCTCGTGAAAGCATTGAAGTTTTACCATGGCAGCTTGATTAGGGCCTGCCAATCTGAAACATTGATTCCGATCCTTTAGAGTAACGTCTGGGGCCTTTGCGCCAAATGGAGGCCCTTGATCACAAGGCAACGAGACCAGCAAAGAGATACTGCCATCAGAGATACTGCAGTCTCTCTCTCTCTCTCTCTCCCTCCTCTCTCTCACACTCTCAGTCCTGCAGCTAGCCATCACAGCAAGCAACAAAGCAAGATTCGAACGGTGGACACATTGTTGTCCGAGGTAACAAGGTGGATAAAACGGGAACACGTTAGCAATTGATTCTCGTGCTTTAAACGACGTGGATTCTGGCCAATTGAAGGACTTGGTCTTCATTGAAGGGACATATTCGCTCACGTGATTCTCATGAATAGTGTGGACAATGTAGGATGTGAATCGGATATTGCGAGGTCCACAGTAGACCACTCGAGTCTTGGCGTCCAGTCCACGGATGACTTCTTGTGACGAGATAGTCCATGCATTCATCTGAGCCCACACCGGGGCTCAGATGAATGTGTTGTTGGTATATAAACGAGTGTCTTGGCCACTTATATCATGTATCCTTCTTGTCTTCTTCTTCAAGCAGCAGGCCGAGGACAACGCGCTAAGTAACATCAACGTACGAGGTGTCAGTTGAATTCAGAGGGGCATGCATGCAGCAGTAGTTTTCATCAGGTTCCAGTAATATTACCGTCATATGAATAGGAGGAGCTCGAGTCAATTGTGAAGCTGGTACTACAGTTGTTGGAATCGTATGCTGTGAGTAGTCGGTCGGTTGACAGATCACTGTTGGATTTGACTCTAGAGACTTGTTGATACTGATCTCACAGACCGATTAGGCGAACACGTTCGGGAAGTCAAGATTTGAGCTCTGTTTGGTCGATGGCTTTCAACGAAAATGGTACGTCCAGTAACTTCCTCAAGTTTCCAATTCCGTTTGAGCTGGAGTGGATCAGCCTTACTCAGCTCAGCCACTCGCTCGATCGTATCGGCACCTAATGTCTCAAGAGGTGTACAGCAAAACATGCAGAATGGCGACGAATCTACTATTCCGATGTTCTGGCAAGATTAAGCTTCCATGATGGTTTTCTGAATGGTCAGTGAGTGATTTATATCCAGAAGGAGAGTATCTTTTGCGTTCTCTCGCGTTCTTTTGTTCTGGGGAATAAGCTTGTGCCTGACACAAATTGCAGGGAAGGTGCAAAATGCCTGGGTGGAGTACCTAGGTACGTCAACACTAGAAGCCGTGGACCGTTTGAGTGCTGTGTCATCGATACCGAATGTGTACACGCAGGGCCCGATGTCTGCAGAAGACTCACCTCCCATCAATCCTGGTAATCCCGAAGACGTGTGGGTCTACGACAGCGGGCTCGACACTGTTCTGGGCATTCCCAAACGTGGAACCTGGCACTACAATCGTAAGTAGTACTTACGTGCACAGAAGTCGGGGCAAGATAGTGGTCATCGTTATTGGCTGAAATTCTTCCTTAATCGTGGCGGCGCTGCTGGATGCCGAATGGCAGCCATTTAGGCAGGCTCAAAGAGAGATCGCATGAAGTTGCTGAGACTTGGTGGAAAAGAATTATACCCTCCACTCATCACTCTGAAAGCGTAACATTCAGAAGGGATGACGATTTCCAAAATGGAGTCTCTGCTGTTGGTTTCATCGAACTTAAAGATCTAGATTCTTTTAGAAAATTTTAGAAACTCTCTGCTAGGAACCGATGTTCTCCTTCCAGGAATTTGCTTATCGTCAATCTCACTTTCGCTTGCTTGGTCACGATGCGACATGTTTTCAGGAGCAAGTCCGGGATGGCCAGAGCTTCTGGGCAGACCGTACAAGGAAGCAATTGAAACGATAGTTTCGGAAGAAGTTGGGGTCAATGTGATTTTCGGACCGGAGGGATTTATCCGCATAATGAACATCGATATACGCCGAGTGTGGTTGGACGTGGACAAAAACGGAAATGTGGCCAAAGTTCCACGTCTTGGTTAAGTCTGAGCTCCATTTGTATAGCTACAATATTCCGACATGGGAACATGTGTCTGCAACCAGGTTGCACAAGAACATAGATTCTTTTGAAAGATCGATCCCAGAAGCAAAAGCTACAGACATGAATAAACTCGTGCCTATTTACTGTCTGCATTCTTCATGTACTTCTGCCGCAGTTGACAATTCCAGTAAGTTGTAGGGGAATTTCGTCTGTCTTCTCATTCTTGTACGTTTTGTGTACGGAGCTCACTTTTATGGTGCGCTACCAAAAGCACCTAGGTTCCATATGTACTGATAATATGTAATTCAAACACCTTTAGATTATCAACTTTTACTTGATAATTCTAGCACCCAGAGATTAGAAGATTTCATTCTTTGTATCTCTTAATCGATCCAATGCAAGAAAATCGCGAGTTGAATCATTTGGTTGATTATACATGATATTGAATATTTGACTTATATATAAAGAGATTGTGAAAAATAACGCCATGTGAATATTTTGATTGAGGAAATTTGGACTTTCAGAAAATATTGCGGACTTTGAACCTAGATCAAAATGTGTCAGATTGTCAATAGATGATCTATTCTTCATAAGTGCTCTTTGATTTCTGTGAATCGAAGATTAGGCATCATGGTGACGTAGTATGATTCTTATGTGTTGTTCCAGTTTCAAAATAGATTTGAGGAATCAATCTATATTACACTAAGGTGAAGAATAGCTGCGTGATTCTACAATATTTGTCAGACAATTATTGGTGTAAGTTTGCACATCCTTACACTTAAATGGTGAATAATATATTTACTTTAAAGAAAATATCTAAATCTAAGCATCTTCAGCAATTTAGTATGAAAATTATAGGCATCATAAATTATTAAAAGATTAGCTATATTCACGAATTTTTTGTCTTGTAATGAATGATTTGGGGTATCGCAATGACAATAGCTGGATTTGTACAAGTATCACGTAAGTAATTCCGGAGAACATTGATGATAAATTTTATCGATATATCTCATGCTAAAGAGCAAAATATAAGACACCATGATTTCCAGATGTATTCAAGAGTTACTGTTGACCATGGCTAAACATGACGATTGTAATATTGAATATTTTTGCAACATGATTCTGAGCAATGGTAATATTCGTCAAAGTATTTGAATCGTTTTTACATATAAACGTAGAGCTTGTAAGAAATCATTCCTTACTGTTGGAGATTTTAGATGTAGTGAGGAACTATTTCCTTACAGTCCGAATTATCTACAATTACCAGAGTTTAAGGTTTTATCTTCTAAGTTTTGCATCTACTTGTAAAAGCTCATTGAGTTTTTTCTATTTGGTTCTTTTAAAAAAATATTTTTGGTGTAAATTATATTAAGTAATTAATGAATAATTGAAAATGTGTCAATTGTATAGATTTTCAAAATTTTAGAATTCTTTCAGTTATGCAATATAATGACGATATTGTCACATTAAAAAAAAGCTTTTTTGTAAACCAATTTTCTATTCATATGAGAAATAATTTATACATATATTTACCTTTGAGAAGTATACCTAAATACATCTGTATTTTAAATTGTCATCATATATTTTAAAATATCTAATGTTCTCTTCACACAAGACAATGTCGCATTGTTTATGTGTTTGATAATCTATGTGTTGGAAATATGTTATGAAACTTCATCAAACAATTATAAGTAGGTCTCTTAAAATATGACATTGAAAGACTCTCGTTCCAGAATTGTCATAAATAATATTTGTTGGATGGCATAAATAAAGTTGAAATTTTGAGTTGGTGGCTGGTCGAGTCAGCAATTGCTCTTGTCTATTGCTATGCAACGATCAACTACAACTCTTCAGTAATGAAAAAGAGCGACCGCGGCTAAAGAATTGCTGTAATGTTTTCTTTTTTACCATAGATTAGATTGTAAATCCAAGTTTATGTTTGCTATTATCTTGCTCTTGTGTGCTACTGAAAAGTTCATGATATTCATTGTTTTACTTTATTGAAGAATAGCTATCAATCAAATATCGTCAAAGAAGCGCAAAACTTCGCATAATTTAGCTCACGAACTTGAGTATGGACCAAAGATCTTAACGTGGGAACCGTCGTCTAATGTTGTTACATTAATTTTGTATCGCTTTTGCCGAATAAGGGGACCTAAAGAAAAGATTTGACAAAAACGCAAGCTGGCTTTAAGCACATAGTACTTTAAGTTTTCATATTGACCAAAATTGTATTCACAACATTGTAATAACCCACTAAAGGCTAAAACTGCAATATAGTGGTAGAAAGGTCGAACCCACAGGGACAGAGGAACACACAGGGTACAAAGTGTCACGTTTAACAGACTATTGAGGAGTTTGAATTCTCAGGCGACTGTCACTCCCAGAAATACTGCAAGTGTCCACTCGGAGCGCACTCGGAGGTCGCACAGTGCAGCGTAACACACACACACACACACACCTGAAACTACAGAAACACAACCCAGAGATCCGTTGGGACCTCTACTCAAGATTTCAGGGGGGAAAGTCTCTCACTAGCACACTCAGCGAAGCTGCGGGCAGTGGCTTCCAACTCCGGCTTTTACAACGCTTCCACTAGCTTGCTGCTAGTGTAGGAAACCCGGTTTGGACTACCTACTTCGGATCAAAGTCACTCCTACGCGGTGAACAACACTCTCAACTCACAAAACGCGCAGAGAACACAGGTCCGCACTGAAGGACTCACTGTGAAACATTCCAGTAACACAACAACAGTCTATTGAAGAGTTTGAATTCTCAGGCACTTGTCATTCCCAGAAATACTACAGGGGTTACCCCAAAGGCACCTGCTGCAGCGTAACTTGAATTTACAACCAAGGCTTACACGAAGTAGCAAAACTTCACTTTGGCATTCAGGGGAAAATTCCCGAAGGAGTACAATCAGAAAGAAACACTCGAAGGTGTAGGGGCGAAACTGTTCAAGTATCTAACTAGTCACTGGCTCTGAGCATCGGCAGTCACCCGCAGGTGCAGATCCGAACTACTCAAGTCTCTAACCAATGTGCTAGCTCTGAACATTCGGCCGAAGGCCTTGAGCTACAAAATGCGGAACGCTAAGTTGCAACTCCTCTTGCGTGGTGACAGAACTTAAGGACACAAACACACAGAGGAAATGGATTCCTGATCTGCACTTCTGAGTTTGGGAAAGAACCCAAGGCAAGACGCCTTGAACTATTTTATACCTTCTAAGTCCTAACTAACACTACACTGCACTATGCTACACGCCTGCACGGAACCACGCTACACTACACTCCACGGAACCTGTGCTACGTCTCCTACGCGACGGACTGCCGCGCACTAACTCCCTATCCTGCCAGTCTTTCGCTCGACTGCGCAGTCCCAATCGCTGCAACACCGCGGACATCTCCACTTCGAGGGTGGACATGGTGTCCCGCGCCTTTGACAGAAAAGCTTCGAGCTTCTTCGCTACCTTCCGCCGACTCCTGCTGTCGCCTGTCAACAACCCGGTTGCGCGAAGTTCAAACTCACGTAGTGTGAGTTTCTCCTGCGCCGCCACTTCCCAGTGGGCGTAGCCCTTGAGACAGTGGGCGACACGCCTCGCCGTCTCCTCCTTCGTGCAATCCGCCTCTCGCCTGCGATCCTCTTCAATTACCACTAATTGCGATTCGGCTTCAGCACGCTGCGCTCTCAATTCGCCACACTCTGACTGTAGCCTGCGGATTAAATCCTCATCCGCCTGTCGTGCGAGCTGACACTGCTCTAACAACCGCGTCTGTCGCACGAGCTCCTCTGACAAAATCCGATTCTGAGTCTGCTCAGACATTAGTGCTTCCGTGATCTTCACTTGCTCCTTGGTGAGCTCTTCCAGTTTCCCATCCCTCACCTTTTCGGAGTACTTGTAGAATTTCTGATTGAGCTTATACTGACCCCACAAGCATTCATGCTTCTCCTTCAATTCCCTCAACTTCTGGTCCACTCTAGCTAGTAGCTTGCTGGTGTGGACTTTAGTGCGAGTCCGCCTGCGCACTAATTCGATGTAAGATCCCGGCTGAAGTGGGTCGGCGTATTTATCTATTTTGCGATCCAAGTACCTCAGCAACGGAATCACCTGCTCAGAGAGCGCCGCCGCCGGCGCTCCAACAATTTCCTCCTCCTCCTCCTCGGTATCCCCTGCTCCTGACATTTCTTCGGTGGAGCCTCCGTCGTCATCATCCGAGTGGAGAATTTCAGTCGCCATTGATTGCGTCGGCGACTGACCCGAGTGGGGCTGCACGTCGTCGACGGGTGCTGCCTGCGAAGGCACTGCTGCAGCCTCGCTGCTCTTCGCCAAAATGTCTAAGGCGGTAGGCGAATGTGCCCGTGCTACATCCCCATCGCCCACTTGTTGGTCTTCTACCGTATCTGTTCTGCCGCCGACGTCCGCCGCCGAAGGCGATCGAGCGGAGGGTGGCTGCGCGGGGTTTGATTGCGCATCGCGCACCAAAATTTCATCCCGCGGATAGTCACTCCGCTCCTCCGTCCGTCGCTGCTCCCTCGCTCGGTCCGCGGGGGCTGTGCCTGGCCTGTGCGCAGGCGCAAATGCCGGCGCCTTGTCCGCCGCGGGCGCAGCGCCGCGGACGTCCATCGCCAAAGGCGACATGGCCGGGGGCCGCTCGCCCGATGTCCCTTGGCCCTGAGGCACTACCGCCGAAGGCGCATCTACCGGCGGATTACCCGCCGATGGTGCGGCCTCCGCACGCTCCCTGCTCGTATCTCCTCGGCTCGAAGGCCCTGGCGCCGAAGGCACATATCGCGGCGCGTTGTGCGCCGGAGGATCTGGCCTCGAAGGCCGGTGTCTCGTAGGCGGATCTTCCGCCGGCTCCTTCCCCTTCCTACGTTGGAACGAGGGTGATTCCTGCCTGTGCACAGGCGGCACGTGTGGAGGTGACCTGCGCACAGGCGGACTGCTTCTTCCCACGCGTAGGCGTAGATCCACGTCCGCTTGTGGTCGTCTGTCCGCGGAGGCTCGTCCATCCGCGGAGTCTTGCCTGTCCGCGGAGGCTCGTCCGTCCGCGGAGGCTCGCCGGTGCGCAAACGGAACACCTGTACGCAACGCACGTGGTAACTCCGGAGGCCCTTGGCCCGTAAGCGGCCTCTGGTCCGTCGAGGCTGCAGCGTGGTCCGTTGCTCCTGCGGACGTCCGCGCTCCCTCGAGCGCGAAAGGAAGTGCGACGCACTTCCTTTCTCCGTCGCAATCGTCGCCGTGTCCGCGCTGTTGGCTGGTAACACCAGCCTGCGCGCCTTCTGCTTCGGCCGGCTGTATGACTCGTACAACGGCCGCGGTCGAATGGGAGCAGAGGGTTCTTGATGCTGCTCTTCTTCGGACTCCTCTCTCCATCGCCGCTTCCGCGGCGCTCGTGCTGCAGGAGTGTT